CCATGAAAGGAAGGTATCATTATCCCTATTTATAGGTGAGGAAAGTAAGACTCAGAGATGGTGGGCAACTTGCTAAGGTCTCACAGCTAGCAAGTCCTGGAGCCAGAATGTAGACACAGATGGTCTGACCCGAGACCTCATGATCTTAGGTGTTCTGCTATGGTATTCCTCTTTCTCTTTAGGTGAGCTCATCCTTAACCACACTAATAAACAGAGTGGAGATAAAGGAAAGTCATAGAACTATTCCCTAAACTAGCTTACTTAAGTCAATGGACTCCTCACCTTTCCCCTAACACTGGACATCAGAGATACTAACAAGAAGCTGCATGTCTCAACGACTTCCCCCTGGGCCAACTCTGTTCTGGTGGAGGCGCCAAACATCAATAAAATAGAAAAGGCATCAAGAGAAGTGAAGTGAGGAGGAGGAAAGGGGCTTGAATGTCAGCAGACTGAGGAACCAACCCCTGGTTAATGAAGCCTGGGCTGTAGAATAATAATAAAGTGATGATGATGATAATAATAGTTATCAATCATAATAGTAGTTCTTAGATGTTAGTATAATGACCCTGTGAAGCCCAGTTTTTGCAGGAAAATAGGTTCTTCCTGCTTGTGACGTCGAGGAACTGACATCGCTTCCTATGGCTCAGCAACGCAAATTGAGCGTGGGTCCCGTGTTACTGCTTCTGAAAGGAACGTTCCCTATACACAGAGTGAGTCAAGCCAGTGTCGTTTCCCTGGTGATCTGAGCGTAGCAACTCTTCTACAAAGCAAACACCCAGCACGCTCCATGCAGAGAATCAATGAACCCGGTCGGGCGTTTCAGCTTTAATTATCCGGGTTGCTGCCAACCACAGAAAGCCCAGTAAAAACAAACACCACCATGCTTTGGGGGCCCTGACATCTAACTCCCTGGTGGCAGAATACAGCTTTTTCAGGGTCACAGACTCGAGGTTCTGAGGCAAGGGGGGAAGAAAGGAAGGGCAGACATCCACGGGGTCATGCACTGAGCTCTGGAGGTGCTGACAGTTGCCCTACACATTGGACCTGTGCCTCTGCTGGTCAGGAGGTGGGCTGGAGCCAGCAGGGACAGTACCTGGGGGTCCAGGATGGATGTGCCCCTCCTACTGGCCTGGAGAGGCAGTAACAGCACAGTGGTCAGAGTGAAGGCTCTGGATTCAGGCAGGGTCTGATCCTGGCTCCTCTGATAACTTGCTGGGTAATCTTGGCTGTTCAGGAAACCTTATAAGCCTCAGTGTCCTCATAACAGTGCCAATGTCCAAGGGTGTGAGGATTACATGTGATAATGCATGTGGAGGGCTTGGCCCAGGGCCAGCAAGTAGGAAGGGCTGCATGCACAGCTATTATTGCCCACCCGGGACCAGGCTTCCAGACATTCCCCTTCTCTCCTCCCCTGTTCCCCACCCTGATCTCTCAGCTTGCCCTCCACTCCCTGTCCCATGCCCACGCCTACTCACTTAGCTCTGGCCCCTTCCACAGCTACATTTAGTCCTGCTGAATCCTCCACAGTAGAGGTGGAAAACCCAAAGAGGTAAGGGTTGAACTTCTTCAGAATGTCTTTAAAGAGGGAAGAGGCAGACAGCACAGGTGAGAGGCAGCAGGAGCCCCGGGGGAACTGAGATGGGCTTGTGGTGTTGGGGCACAGGTGCGGGGCAGGAGGGTTCTGGCTGACCTCCCTCCTTGCAGATAACCTTCTCTTCCCCTCCTACAATGGGGAGGCCCTGGCCTCAGCAAGGGGTTGCTATGGCCATAACGATGTTGTGTCTCAGTGTTGCTACTTACTGGGCAGGGTGGTGTGATTCTCCAAGACCCCATCCCCGCCAATGCTGCGAAAAAGAAAGTGTGTTTGTTAAAATCGCCCAAGCTGCTTCTCCACGCATTGCTGTATGGGTGAGTCAGAACCAGAGATTTTGCCCTGGGGCACCATTCTCGTCACCCTCAGGGCTAACAAGCATCGGGGAGTTTCCTCGTGAAGTAAGAGGGGAAACACACCGCTCAAGTCTCTCTGGGGGAGCGTCATCAGTAGAGAATGAGCCAAGAGCATCCTCACCTCCAGGAGAATCCCCTCCAGGGGATGGCTGTGTCGGTGAAGCCGCTTGGTTGAGCTCCTGTTGCTGTCTATGAAAAGCAAAGAGAAGATTCCAGGCCTCGGCCGTGCCAGGGAGAAGGCTGAGGGCACTGAGAGAGGCCCTCTGGCCCTGGCGTAGCAGCCAGGACTGGGGTTGCCTTTTCTGAAAATGTTACTGCCTTTTCTCCAGGCCACCTTACACTGAGTTTAAGGTGACACAGTCTTTTCCCCAGTCCTCTACCAACAGCCAATGACCAAGTCCTGTCATTCTTCCTTCCCAACCTTCCTAGCACCCGTCCCTTTCTTTCTGTTCCCTTTGCCATGTTTCCAGCTGAGACTCTCATACCTTGCCACGGATAACACTCTGGCCTCCACCTGACCTCACAGTCTCCACTCTCTGTCCCCTTCCTGCCAGCAGGGCTGCCTACCTGCTCTTCTGAGCACACCTCTTTCTTCACGCACCCCCACCCCCATCCGACTCTGACCCTTCAGTGAGTCTTCCTTACCTTCGGGATCAAAGTCAAACCCCTTCATCAGTGCTCTGAGCTCACCGTAATCTGGCTTCTCCTTCCTCCTTCCCGGTCCACACAAGCCTTCAGGTCTAAGCGAATTATTTGTCATGGCTTCTGAAGCATGAGGGCCTTGGGCTGGTCTGCCCTGTTCCCATCCACTGCATCCTTTCCTGCAATGCTGGACTTCCTCCTTGCCAGCCCCTTAAGTCTCTAATTCATTCTCTAAGTCCCTCATCAGTTCCCACCTCCTCTGTAAAGCTTTCTCTCAATGCCATGTCTTAAAAAAAAAAAAAGAAGAAACTCCTCTTTGAAATCTACAAAAGTAACATATGTTCACCATAACCACTGAAACCATACAAAGTTTTAAAAGAAATGAATAATCTACCCCACCTTAAGAATCCTGACCTGACACAGATTCCACATCCCCTCCTCAAAAAAAAAAGAAGAAACTCCTCTTTGAAATCTACAAAAGTAACATATGTTCACCATAACCAGTGAAACCATACAAAGTTTTAAAAGAAATGAATAATCTACCCCACCTTAAGAATCCTGACCTGACACAGATTCCACATCCCCTCCTTGCCCCTACCCATATACGCAAACCACCAGAGCTAATTAATGGTTAACAGCCTGGACTGTGCCCTTCCAAAGTGTTTTCCATATTTATACCAAAGTGAAAACACATTCACACACATGGAGGTGGTGGTTGTTTCTACAGAAATGAATATCCTATTTTAAAAGACTTGAATATCACCTCTGTGATTATGCATCTCCTTCTACCTAAGTTTCTTGTTTTCCTAGCCAGACAAGTTTCTGGCTGTATCTCATGACTGTATCTCATATTTCTTTCTCCTTGTGCACACACAGCAATGGCTAAATAGTTGGCTAATGCAATTCATTTAGCAAGACTGTGCTATGTACCATGAACTGGGCTCCGTCTGCCCCAATCAACATGTCCTTAAATGGGGTGGGAGGCATTGGGCAGTGTGTGGGTCAGACCTACCACTCTTTGAGTCTGAGGACATGGAGATGACCCCCCTGATAAAGGCAGGCAGACTTGGACAAGTGCCTTCACACACCGGTGAAACGCCTGGAAACAGTGGGGCAGTGGGGACAGAGGGGCAGCCTCATGGAGGAGGTGGGGTGGGAGCGGGACTGGGGAGGGTGGAGCTGCAGAGCATTCCACGCAGTGCTTGGCGCAGGCTGGCCCTCGGTAACGTGGGCTAAATGCTGACTGCAAAGCTAGTGCTGAGGAAGAGCTGATTCCGCACAGGGCCTTGCCAGGCTCCGAGGTACCCACCCTGGTTCACAGCTCAGTACTCACAGTCAGCGAGTCACCCAGGGCGGCCACAACTTTGATGTCTGCTGGTTGGAGCTTGTGGACTAGAGGAGACAGGCAAGAAGAGAGATGCTGAGGTGGTAGCCTCGTCTTTTCAGTGTCAACTTTACCAGGAGTCTGTGGCTCTGCCCTAGGCCCACAGCTCCCCAGTGCCACTGTTTCCAGCCTGAGGCCTTAACGATTTTGCCTCTTCCATTCATTATTCACAGCAACCAAGACACTGAAGGAAATGGGCTTAATGGCTATCATCCATCCTGAGAGGAGCCCCATTCACACTGGGTGGTCTGGGGAAGTTTCAGCTGCAGGGCTCATGGAGCATAGGCAGATAGGACTCCAATCCCTGACTGTACCTACCTCACTGGGCAGGGAGGCCTGAGGGGCTGACTTTGGGACTACAAGGAGACAAGAAGTGTGATTTGGTAGAGAGGCCTGTGCCTCTGCACATGGGAGTGCAGCTATGGCTGCAGGCCAGCGTCTTGTGGACCTCCCAGGATCTAGGTCTGCCTTGCATGGGAATCAGCAAGGTCTGCTCAAAGCTCCACAGTACATTTGTAGGGTTTCCCACCACAGTGACACTTAGCAAGGACCTTAATGGAAGGGGATGACAATGTTTTCACTCACCTGAGGTGGGAACAGGATTGGAAGGATTCCCCTTCTTACACTGGAAGTCAGTGCCCCACCCCTAAATCAAAGGAGGAAAGACACAATGTCCAGTGCTCATTGTGCAGAGAGATGAGCTTCAACCCAAGAAGAACTAACCAAAAAAATGTTTGTGGAGGCTAGAAATATGTCACTGTAGGGGATCACGCGAGAGTAAGAGCTGTTAGTTGTAGGGGGTTTAAGAGGGAAATTCAAGGGGAGGAATGGTGTCTGCCCACCCCTACGCACAGCACACAGTGCACGTGCACACACAAGTTCCTCACGCCGCCTTTCCCATCCCAACTTATCTACACCTGGAATGGAGCCAGCAGCCACCCAAAGCAGGGGAGAAAGCAATGAAGTCATACTACAGGTGTTCTCCCAAAGGAACACAGGATTTGGATGCCTAATACGACAGATTATAGTTGTGTTTTGGGGTGGTTGTTTAACTTTAAGCTAATTGACACTAATTACAATGCTAGGGCCCAAGCAATAATGAGTTAAAATATTTTTAGCAAAATGACATGAAATTTTTACAATTGCAAAGCTCTTGGTTTCTGTACATCTTTTTGTATATCTAATTTAAGAGCCACCAAATCATTGTATGTGTATAAATTAATGCCTGTAACCCTGGATACTTTTTGTCAACTTTCCTTGTCTCTGTGATACAGAGCATATTTTCCAGGTCCTGGGGAGGAGGCATGGTGAGAAGTGGAGGGCACAGAAAGTACTAGAACCAGAAACCTGGGGAGGAATAGAATCTCTTCTCAAAGTCCCAAATATCTGCATGCTGAGTGCATATTAGGACTACACAAACAGGTTGATTGATTCTCCAGAAGTCTGGTTGCCAGAGGCTTTGAAAGCTCATCTCATCTGTTCAGTCAGATGACGATGAAGATTAAGTCTTGTTAAAATATCCCTATCATGAGGGAGCAAAAATGAAACTTCTCTTAAATATTATCTGCTTAATCCAGTGGAATTTAGTTTATTCCAAGGGACTGCTCAATTCATCACACTAACAGATTTCCTCTTCTGTTTGGAGGGTTTACTGAAATCAAGAACATGCTGTGTGCAGATGAAAAATACTCAGGGAAAATGCCATTTTAAAAAATGTATACAGCTATCAGCACATTAGAAATATCTCAGATAGTTGGTGAGCCAGAGACAAGCATGTTCCGTGGAAATTAACAGACACAGGTTGGAACTTGAGCATGAGCATCTCTCATGAGGGAAGAACCACATGCTGCATTCTAAACCAGTGCATCCAAATCCCCTGGGATCTTGTTAAATTGCAGATTCTGATTCAGTAGGTCTGGGAGGGTGCTGATAACTCTGCA